GTGACAAAAGGATAAACAATATATTAGTAGCTATATTAAGAGTGAAAGTGTGTAAGTGAGTTTTTAATAATTCGTATTAAAGTGTAAATATAACTGTGTTTTTTGTTTGTTTTTGATTTCAATGAATAAATTATAATGATAATGAAATTAAAATATGATGAACTCATTAATAAAATTATAACTACATTGTTGTTGTTTTTTTTCTTTTAGCAAATGTTTTTCTTGTTATTTTTACGAAAAAGCATATAGATAATTTGTTTTTGTTTCTGGGTTGATTTAACTTAAATCATGCTCTCTATAATAATAATTTTATTTTTTTTTATTTAAATATGAATTTTACAGCTAGAAATACTATATGCTAATTCTTTGTTTTACACTAATTAAAAGATTTGGTTGTGACAAATAAATAGGTTTGAGAGAATGCTGCCAATGTTAAATCGGTAAGAGAGAGACGTAACTTAAAGATCAAAAACAACTAAATTTTAACAACTTTAAGTCTGCTATTTCTCTTTTATCATTCTCTCTTGCTAATTAGTTTGCATCAACCAAATTTTTGCTTGAGTGTCTGTTTGTTTTGGTGATTCTTAAATAGTTTAAGCGATTTTTGTATAATTTTTTTCTTGGTTTGTCACACACATACTTATTAGATTTTTTTTTGTTTTTAAAATTTAATTATTTTTTTGTTTAAATTTAACGGTGTTTTCAGTTGCAAAGTTTTATTATGATTCAGTTTACGATTTTTTTTCTCTGTTAATTGCTATAAAATTGATGCTATAATTTCATTTCTTTTTTTTATATATTTGTTTTTGTTAAATGCAATAATTTTGTATGGGAGAGTTGTTTAAAAGATTGTTTTTGTTGTGTTATTTTCTTTATATAAGATGATTTTGTTTTTTGTTTGTTTTGCTGGGTTTTTTTGTTTGTTTTGAAAATGTTTTAAAACTAAACAGGAACCTTTGCTTAAAGGATTAAGAAATACTGTTGGGTTTGTTATTTGTTTATTATTCATTTTTTTTTAATAATTATATAAAGACTTGAGGTTTATAATGTTTAATTATAGTGTTCTTTATTTTATTTATTAATTTAATTATTATTATTTTTTTGTTTAATATAAGGTGCTTTTATTATAAATTTATTATTTTACACAGCAAAGGTTTTTATTTATTTTTTCTTTATTTTTGCTTAAAATTTTATACGAAAAACCTTAAGGAATGTGTTGAATAGAACAATTTTATGTTTAAAATTAACTGTTATACACAATTTTTTTTACAGAAAAATCCCTATACAAAATTCTGTTATACGCAAATTTTCTGTACAGTGAACTCTTATAATCAAATGTTTTTATAAGAAACTGTTATACAGAATATTTTCTATAGAAAACAAACTGTTATACTAAAATATTTTGAGGAAGAAACTGTTACATACCAATATTTTATAGAAAAATCTGTTACACACACATTTATCTATAGAATAAAATTGTTATAAACAAATTTTTTATACAAAACTGTCATACACATTTTTCTATAGAAAAACACTGTTATGTTAATAAAAGAATTTCTATAGAATAACTGTTATACACAAATTTTTCTATAGAATAACTTTTATATACAAATTTTTCTATAGAAGAACTTTTATACACAAATTTTTCTATAAAAAAAACTGTTATACTAAATTTCTTCTATAAAAAACTATTATTCACCAAGTTTTTCTACAGATATACACATTTTTTAATAGAAAAAACTGTTATACACATATTTTTTTATAGAAGAAACTGTTATACAATTTTTTTCCTGTTATTCACAAAATTTTCAATAGAAAATTTTTACACACAGTTTTTCTATAGGAAACCCTGTTAGACACAATCTTTTCTGTAGAAAAAAATTTAAAGAACTGTTATACACAAAATATTTTGTAGAATAAACTATTATACTCAAAATTTTCTTTAGGAATACTTTTATACACATTTTTTTATGGAAAAACTATTGTACACAATATTTTTTTGCTGAAAAAAACTGTTATACACAAATTTGTTTACAGAAAAAAAACTATTTCTATTCTTCATAAAATTTTTACACACAATCTTTCTGTAGGAAAACTTGTTAGACATATCTTTTTACTCGAAAAAACTGTTATACACAAATTATTTTGTAGAAAAAACTGTTACTAACAAACTTTTCTATTGAAAAACTGTTATACACTGTATACATAAATTTTTCTATAGAAAGAACTGTTATACACACTAACACTGTTACTAACAAACTTTTCTATTGAAAAACTGTTATACACGATATTTTCTAAAGAAAAAACTATTATAGACAAATTTTTCTATAGAAGAAAACTGTATACATAAATTTTTCTATAGAAAGAACTGTTATACAGAACTGTTTTCCTATATAAAAACTGTAGAAAAAACAGTTATACACACATTTTTTTATAGTAAAACTGTTATACACTTTTTCTATCGAAAAACTTTTATACTGTTATACACCAAATGTTTTTTTAGTAAAAACTGTTCCACACCATTTCATTCATAGTAAAAAATGTTATATACCACCATTTTTCCATAGAAAAAAATTGTTATACAAACATTTTTCTATAGTAAAAACTGTTATAAACAATTTTTTCCCAGAAAAACTCCTATATACACAATTTTTCTATAGAAAAAAAAACTGGTATACAAACATTTTTCTATAGGAAGAACGGTTATACAAACATTTTTCTATAGAAAAAACTTTTATACATCATATTTTCTAAAGAAAAAACTGTTATACATGATATTTTTTGAAGAAAAAACTGTTATACATGATATTTTTTGAAGAAAAAACTGTTATAGGCAAATTTTTCTATAGAAAAAACAGTTATACACAAATTTTGCTATAGTAAAACTGTTATACGCTTTTTTCTATCGCTGTTATACAGCAAATTTTTTTCATGGGAAAAAACGTTTATATAAAAATTTTTCGATAGTAAAAACTGTTATACACAAACTGCTATATACACCATTTTTCCATAGAAAAAAACTATTATACAAACAGTTTTCTATAGTAAAAACTGTTGTATACATTATTTTCTATAGTAAAAACTGTTATACACAAATTTTTCCCAGAAACTCTGCTATATACAAATTTTTCTATAGAAAAAACTGTTAAACTGTTAAATTTTTTGCTATCGAAGAAACTGTTATACATAATTTTTTATAGAAAAATCTGTTATTCACAAATATTTCTGAAGAAATTAATTATAAACAAAATTTTTCTACAGAAAAAACTATTATAATCCAATTTTGATTTAGTATAAACTGTTATACTGAAGTTTTTTTCATGGAAAAAACTTTTTAACACAATATTTCCATAGAAAAAATATTTTAACACAATTTTCTTTCCATAGAAAAAAACTGTTATACGCAAATTGTTCTGTAGAAAAAAAAAATGTTATACATATTTTTTACAGAATTTAGAGCTAATACGAAAAAACAGTTTAAGACCATTTTTCCATAGAAAAAACATTTTAACACAATTTTCTTTCCATAGAAAAAAACTGTTATACGCAAATTGTTCTGTAGAAAAAAACTGTTATACATATTTTTTTTACGGAATTTACAGCTAATACGATTTTGTTCTCTAAAACATTTTATAAATATTTTTTTCATATAAACATTTTTCTCTATAAAAAAATATGTTCTTCCATAAAGTTTTTGAAATGGTTAAGGAAAATCCTTTAATTTGCACAATTTAAAAGAAAGTGAAAATTTAAAATTTTTTGTTTCAAAACTTACTTAAATATTACATAATATTATGAAAACTTAAAATACTTATTTTGTATTAAGTTTTTATTTTTTTTTTTTAAATTACTAAAGCTTTGCAAAGCTTTAAATTCTAACAACTAATTAGCTAGCATTTGTTTTTTTTTTCATTTTATTATTTTGGCTTTTCTTTCACTAAATTTAAATTAATTCGTTCTTTAAGCAGTTAGACTTCAATTTCTTGACACCTGCAGCTGATTAACAGTGTTGGCAACTTGTTTTTCCTGCTCGTTTCCGTTTTCCGTTTTAGCAGTTACAGTGTGTAATAAATTAAGAAAAGAAATAGTAAATGTCTGCGTTCGTTTGTATAGCGTCGTGTTTTTTTTTGGTATTTTTAGAACCACTTTTTTAATACTTGTTTTTTTTCCGTATTAAAATCGTTGATAATTGATGTTGTTGTTAGTTGTTTAAAAATTATATAGAAAAAAATAAATTAAAAACTTATCACAAAAGATTGTGTTTATTATTTTTCTCACTTTTCTTTTTATTAATTTTTATTTCTTGTTACTTAACTTTCATTCATGTTTTTTTTGGGCGGAATTTTTAGCGTGTTTTAAAAACTTAAGGAGTATTTTTGTTTACAGTTTTAAGTGAAAATTAATAATAATAATGTTAATGTTAATAAACTTATTAAATGTTTAATATTTATGTCGGCCGTTTACTTTAGTTAAGAAACTTAATTGCTTTAATAATGATATACATTTTGTTTTGCTATAATTAATTTTTGTTTAGGTTTTAATGTGTTTGTTTTTTTTAATGATAAATAGTTTTAAATAGGGTTTAGAGAAAGTTTGAGTTATTAGAGGTTTTGACTTAGTTAAAGCGGTTTAATTGATTAATTAATTAAACAAATTATGTTTGTTTTAACAACCCAAGCCAAGTTTTATTTTTCTTAAATAAAGAAATTAAAAAAATTATATTAGTGTTATAACAAAATGTTTCTCTTTTTTTCATTGTTTGTTTTTGTCCTGGTAACTACTTTGTTTCTTATTTTTTCCTTTGTATTAATAATAAAATTTTCTTCTTTTTTTATTAATGATTTACATAATAAACGTTTATTTTTTTTGGTTTTGTTGGATTTTCAAATGTGTTTATGGTTGTTGTTGTTTTTTTTATTATTTTTCTTTTAATGATTTTAAATTTCTATTTTCTCTTGTTTTTTATATGAAGTGAAGCTTTGTTTTAATAATTTTTGTAAATTTTCTTTTTTTTTTGTTTTGGTATTATTTTCCTTCTTTTTTTTGTATAAATCTTTGTTGTTGTGTTTTTTGTTTAGTTCTAAATTTAAAATACCATTATTTGATCGCCACTGCCCTCCGCACTGTCTTCGTCATCTGTTTCTTCATCTTCATCGTCGGATGTTAAAGATGAGGCATTATTGACCACAGATTCTTAAAGAGAGAGAGAAAAAAAAGAATACATATTAGAGTACAATTAAACAGTAGATCTATGGCTGGTCTTATTGACTTCAACATTGCAAAACCCGTTAGTTTAGTCTATTAACTGACAATGCAAATGGTAACTAGATATCAATTATTTAATATCATGAAACTATTATAGTTTTCAGTACTACCGCACACTTTTACAAATACAAATAACAATGATTAAAACCAATATTAAGTGTACTTGCATTTGAAATACATATTTCTTGCATTATGTTTATACATGAAAATTTAAATGATTTTATTACTTCGTAAATCAAATTGCATTAATATCAACTGTCTACAACTGGCCAGTTTTGATTATATTCGTATTCATGAGTTTGCAAAAATATTAGACTAATACTGGTAATATAAAAACTCATTTGAAAATCCGTGATATATAATCTCCGTCTCAATTAGAAATCGTAGAAGAACTCAAAGATCCTTCTGCAATCCAGTATCCTTTTTTCAGTGATCTAGAAGTTCCAATTCCATATGAGTCTATTTTTCAAGGAGGCATAGTACCCCTCTACTACTTACGTCAAACCGGAAGATACTTTAGACAAGACTATAGACAAGACTATAGACAAGACTATAGACAAGACTATAAACAAGACTATAGACTAGACTATAGACCAGACTATAGACTAGACTATAGACTAGACTATAGACTAGACTATAGACTAGACTATAGACTAGACTATAGACTAGACTATAGACTAGATTATAGGCTAGGCTATAGGCTAGACTATAGGCTAGGCTATAGGCTAGACTATAGGCTAGACTATAGATTAGACTATAGACTAGACCATAGACTAGAAAATAGACATAACTATAGACTCAACTATAGACTCAACTATAGACTATAGACTAGACTAGACTATAGACTAGACTATAGAATAGACTATATACTAGACTATAGACTAGACTAGACAATAGACTAAACTATAGACTAGACTATAGACTAGACTATAGACTAGACTAGACAATAGACTAGACTATAGACTAGACTATAGACTAGACTATAGACTAGACTATAGACTAGACTATAGACTAGACTATAGACTAGACTATAGACTAGACTATAGACTAGACTATAGACTAGACTATAGACTAGACTATAGACTAGACTATAGACTAGACTATAGACTAGACTATAGACTAGACTATAGACTAGACTATAGACTAGACTATAGACTAGACTATAGACTAGACTATAGACTAGACTATAGACTAGACTATAGACTAGACTATAGACTAGACTATAGACTAGACTATAGACTAGACTATAGACTAGACTATAGACTAGACTATAGACTAGACTATAGACTAGACTATAGACTAGACTATAGACTAGACTATAGACTAGACTATAGACTAGACTAGACTAGACTATAGACTAGACTATAGACTAGACTATAGACTAGACTATAGACTAGACTATAGACTAGACTATAGACTAGACTATAGACTAGACTATAGACTAGACTATAGACTAGACTATAGACTAGACTATAGACTAGACTATAGACTAGACTATAGACTAGACTATAGACTAGACTATAGACTGACTATAGACTAGACTATAGACTAGACTATAGACTAGACTATAGACTAGACTATAGACTAGACTATAGACTAGACTATAGACTAGACTATAGACTAGACTATAGACTAGACTATAGACTAGACTATAGACTAGACTATAGACTAGACTATAGACTAGACTATAGACTAGACTATAGACTAGACTATAGACTAGACTATAGACTAGACATAGACTAGACTATAGACTAGACTATAGACTAGACTATAGACTAGACTATAGACTAGACTATAGACTAGACTATAGACTAGACTATAGACTAGACTATAGACTAGACTATAGACTAGACTATAGACTAGACTATAGACTAGACTATAGACTAGACTATAGACTAGACTATAGACTAGACTATAGACTAGACTAAGACTAGACTATAGACTAGACTATAGACTAGACTATAGACTAGACTATAGACTAGACTATAGACTAGACTATAGACTAGACTATAGACTAGACTATAGACTAGACTATAGACTAGACTATAGACTAGACTATAGACTAGACTATAGACTAGACTATAGACTAGACTATAGACTAGACTATAGACTAGACTATAGACTAGACTATAGACTAGACTATAGACTAGACTATAGACTAGACTATAGACTAGACTATAGACTAGACTATAGACTAGACTATAGACTAGACTATAGACTAGACTATAGACTAGACTATAGACTAGACTATAGACTAGACTATAGACTAGACTATAGACTAGACTATAGACTAGACTATAGACTAGACTATAGACTAGACTATAGACTAGACTATAGACTAGACTATAGACTAGACTATAGACTAGACTATAGACTAGACTATAGACTAGACTATAGACTAGACTATAGACTAGACTATAGACTAGACTATAGACTAGACTATAGACTAGACTATAGACTAGACTATAGACTAGACTATAGACTAGACTATAGACTAGACTATAGACTAGACTATAGACTAGACTATAGACTAGACTATAGACTAGACTATAGACTAGACTATAGACTAGACTATAGACTAGACTATAGACTAGACTATAGACTAGACTAGACTAGACTTCAGTCTGCATTACAGAGCTTAATTAAAAAGCGTACCTAAGTTTTTAATGTAATTTTGAACCAGTCTATTGTATTATTTGTTAAATCTAGAGAATGCATTTATGTGATATCTGTTTGTATTATAACAGACACACAGATTTGTTTCATTCAAACACAATATTGAAATCATAAAATGTACAACATAACATCTAATTAAATGTCTGAGTATTAAAACAACACATGTTCGTTTTAAGAATGTATTTTCGATCCTTGTGTTACATAGATTTTAATGTTAAACATTTATTATTTGTAAATGTTTATTTGTATAAATATGTGTATATAAAATTGTAAGAGTGAGAATTACAAATCCTATCTCTGTTTGTTTGCACAAATATTTAATTTTGATACAAATAAATTTGCTTAATTATCACAGAACTAACTTGACAGATAATTCAATATTTGTCTGTAATAAATGTACAATTTCAATCACTACCAAAAGTTTTTTAAAATTAATTAAAGCAAGAAAATCAAAATTAAATCGATATTCACAAATAAAATTTGTCATTGTGCCAAAAAAAAAAATATATATATTTTATTTTTTTATGTAATACTCTTTATTTTTCACTCTGAATTTTTAATTATATAACACATATAACGTTTCATGAGTACTTATGTGTTTACATACTTAGTGAATTTGAATTTGATAGATAATTTGGACTCAAAAATATGTACGTATTGTTATACAAACCCAAAATCCTCTTTGATGCTTAAATAATTTATTATGAAAATATTTTACACAATTCTATCTAAATAGCAAAAAATAATAATAATAGTTTTCAAAAACTTAAAATGAATTTTAAATGTGCAGTTTAAATAAACCACAAAAATCTTAATTTAAATTGTATATTAAATATTCTCTTAGATTTAAAATTAGAACAATATGTGATACAGGCATAGAAAACTGTAATTCTATAATATTAAAAACTTAAAACAAAAAGAGTACTTTTTTAGGTTTTAAAGTACCAAACAAATTTTCCTACACTGACTGACTACTATTTAGACAGTAGACTAGAGTATAGATGAGACTATAGTCTACACTATAACTAGACTATAGACTAGACTAGACTAGACTATAGACTAGACTATAGACTAGACTATAGACTAGACTATAGACTAGACTAGACTAGACTATAGACTAGACTATAGACTAGACTATAGACTAGACTATAGACTAGACTATAGACTAGACTATAGACTAGACTATAGACTAGACTATAGACTAGACTATAGACTAGACTATAGACTAGACTATAGACTAGACTATAGACTAGACTATAGACTAGACTATAGACTAGACTATAGACTAGACTATAGACTAGACTATAGACTAGACTATAGACTAGACTATAGACTAGACTATAGACTAGACTATAGACTAGACTATAGACTAGACTATAGACTAGACTATAGACTAGACTATAGACTAGACTATAGACTAGACATAGACTACTATAGGCATAGACTATAGACTAGACTATAGACTAGACTATAGGACTAGACTATAGACTAGACTATAGACTAGACTATAGACTAGACTATAGACTAGACTATAGACTAGACTATAGACTAGACTATAGACTAGACTATAGACTAGACTATAGACTAGACTATAGACTAGACTATAGACTAGACTATAGACTAGACTATAGACCTAGACTATAGACTAGGACTAGACTATAGACTAGACTATAGACTAGACTATAGACTAGACTATAGACTAGACTATAGACTAGACTAGACTAGACTATAGACTAGACTATAGACTAGACTATAGACTAGACTATAGACTAGACTATAGACTAGACTATAGACTAGACTTTAGACTAGACTATAGACTAGACTATAGACTAGACTATAGACTAGACTATAGACTAGACTATAGACTAGACTATAGACTAGACTATAGACTAGACTATAGACTAGACTATAGACTATACTATAGGCAAGACTATAGGCAAGACTATAGACTAGACTATAGACTAGACTATAGACTAGACTATAGACTAGACTATAGACTAGACTATAGACTAGACTATAGACTATACTATAGGCAAGACTATAGGCAAGACTATAGACTAGACTATAGACTAGACTATAGACTAGACTATAGACTAGACTATAGACTAGACTATAGACTAGACTATAGACTAGACTATAGACTAGACTATAGACTAGACTATAGACTAGACTATAGACTAGACTATAGACTAGACTATAGACTAGACTATAGACTAGACTATAGACTAGACTATAGACTAGACTATAGACTAGACTATAGACTAGACTATAGACTAGACTATAGACTAGACTATAGACTAGACTATAGACTAGACTATAGACTAGACTATAGACTAGACTATAGACTAGACTATAGACTAGACTATAGACTAGACTATAGACTAGACTATAGACTAGACTATAGACTAGACTATAGACTAGACTATAGACTAGACTATAGACTAGACTATAGACTAGACTATAGACTAGACTATAGACTAGACTATAGACTAGACTATAGACTAGACTATAGACTAGACTATAGACTAGACTATAGACTAGACTATAGACTAGACTATAGACTAGACTATAGACTAGACTATAGACTAGACTATAGACTAGACTATAGACTATACTATAGGCAAGACTATAGGCAAGACTATAGACTAGACTATAGACTAGACTATAGACTAGACTATAGACTAGACTATAGACTAGACTATAGACTAGACTATAGACTAGACTATAGACTAGACTATAGACTAGACTATAGACTAGACTATAGACTAGACTATAGACTAGACTATAGACTAGACTATAGACTAGACTATAGACTAGACTATAGACTAGACTATAGACTAGACTATAGACTAGACTATAGACTAGACTATAGACTAGACTAGACTAGACTATAGACTAGACTATAGACTAGACTATAGACTAGACTATAGACTAGACTATAGACTAGACTATAGACTAGACTATAGACTAGACTATAGACTAGACTATAGACTAGACTATAGACTAGACTATAGACTAGACTATAGACTAGACTATAGACTAGACTATAGACTAGACTATAGACTAGACTATAGACTAGACTATAGACTAGACTATAGACTAGACTATAGACTAGACTATAGACTAGACTATAGAATAGACTATAGACTAAACTATAGACTAGACTATAGACTAGACTATAGACTAGACTATAGACTAGACTATAGACTAGACTATAGACTAGACTATAGACTAGACTATAGACTAGACTATAGACTAGACTATAGACTAGACTATAGACTAGACTATAGACTAGACTATAGACTAGACTATAGACTAGACTATAGACTAGACTATAGACTAGACTATAGACTAGACTATAGACTAGAGAGACTATAAGACTAGACTATAGTTTTCAAAAACTTAAAATGAATTTTAAATGTGCAGTTTAAATAAACCACAAAAATCTTAATTTAAATTGTATATTAAATATTCTCTTAGATTTAAAATTAGAACAATATGTGATACAGGCATAGAAAACTGTAATTCTATAATATTAAAAACTTAAAACAAAAAGAGTACTTTTTTAGGTTTTAAAGTACCAAACAAATTTTCCTACACTGACTGACTACTATTTAGACAGTAGACTAGAGTATAGATGAGACTATAGTCTACACTATAGACTAGACTATAGACTAGACTATAGACTAGACTATAGACTAGACTATAGACTAGACTAGACTATAGACTAGACTAATAGACTAGACTATAGACTAGACTATAGACTTAGACTATAGACTAGAACCTATAGACTAGACTATAGACTAGACTATAGACTAGACTATAGACTAGACTAAAGACTAGACTATAGACTAGACTATAGACTAGACTATAGACTAGACTATAGACTAGACTTTAGACTAGACTATAGACTAGACTATAGACTAGACTATAGACTAGACATAGACTAGACTATAGACTAGACTCTAGACTAGACTATAGACTAGACTATAGACTAGACTATAGACTAGACTATAGACTAGACTATAGACTAGACTATAGACTAGTACTATAGGCAAGCCTATAGGCAGACTATAGACTAGACTATAGACTAGACTATAGACTAGACTATAGACTAGACTATAGACTAGACTAGACTAGACTATAGACTAGACTATAGACTAGACTATAGACTAGACTATACATAGGCAAGACTATAGGCAAGACTAGACTAGACATAGACTAGACTATAGACTAGACTATAGACTAGACTATAGACTAGACTATAGACTAGACTATAGACTAGACTATAGACTAGACTATAGACTAGACTATAGACTAGACTATAGACTAGACTATAGACTAGACTATAGACTAGACTTTAGACTAGACTATAGACTAGACTATAGACTAGACTATAGACTAGACTATAGACTAGACTATAGACTAGACTATAGACTAGACTATAGACTATACTATAGGCAAGACTATAGGCAAGACTATAGACTAGACTATAGACTAGACTATAGACTAGACTATAGACTAGACTATAGACTAGACTATAGACTAGACTATAGACTAGACTATAGACTATACTATAGGCAAGACTATAGGCAAGACTATAGACTAGACTATAGACTAGACTATAGACTAGACTATAGACTAGACTATAGACTAGACTAGACTAGACTATAGACGACTATAGACTAGACTATAGACTAGACTATAGACTAGACTATAGACTAGACTATAGACTAGACTATAGACTAGACTATAGACTAGACTATAGACTAGACTATAGACTAGACTATAGACTAGACTATAGACTAGACTATAGACTAGACTATAGACTAGACTATAGACTAGACTATAGACTAGACTATAGACTAGACTATAGACTAGACTATAGACTAGACTATAGACTAGACTATAGACTAGACTATAGACTAGACTATAGACTAGACTATAGACTAGACTATAGACTAGACTATAGACTAGACTATAGACTAGACTATAGACTAGACTATAGACTAGATAGACTAGACTATAAACTAGACTATAGACTAGACTATAGACTGGACTATAGACTAGACTATAGACTAGACTATAGACTAGACTATAGACTAGATATAGACTAGACTATAGACTAGACTATAGACTAAACTATAGACTAGACTATAGACTAGACTATAGACTAGACTATAGACTAGACTATAGACTAGACTATAGACTAGACTATAGACTAAACTATAGACTAGACTATAGACTAGACTATAGACTAGACTATAGACTAGACTATAGACTAGACTATAGACTAGACTAGAGACTAGACTATAGACTAGACTATAGACTAGACTATAGACTAGACTATAGACTAGACTATAGACTAGACTGTAGACTAGACTATAGACTAGACTATAGACTAGACTATAGACTAGACTATAGACTAGACTATAGACTAGACTATAGACTAGACTATAGACTAGACTATAGACTAGACTATAGACTAGATATAGACTAGACTATAGACTAGACTATAGACTAGACTATAGACTAGACTATAGACTAGAGATAGACTAGACTATAGACTAGACTATAGACTAGACTATAGACTAGACTATAGACTAGACTATAGACTAGACTATAGACTAGACTATAGACTAGACTATAGACTAGACTATAGACTAGACTATAGACTAGACTATAGACTAGACTATAGACTAGACTATAGACTAGACTATAGACTAGACTATAGACTAGACTATAGACTAGACTATAGACTAGACTATAGACTAGACTATAGACTAGACTATAGACTAGACTATAGACTAGACTATAGACTAGACTATAGACTAGACTATAGACTAGATAGACTAGACTATAGACTAGACTATAGACTAGACTATAGACTAGACTATAGACTAGACTATAGATAGACTATAGACTAGACTATAGACTAGACTATAGACTAGACTATAGACTAGACTATAGACTAGACTATAGACTAGACTATAGACTAGACTATAGACTAGACTATAGTCTATACTATAGATTAGACTATATACTAGACTATAGTCTACACTATAGACTAGACTATAGACTAGACTATAGACTAGACTATAGACTAGACTATAGACTAGACTATAGACTAGACTATAGACTAGACTATAGACTAGACTATAGACTAGACTATAGACTAGACTATAGACTAGACTATAGACTAGACTATAGACTAGACTATATAGACCTAGACTTAGACTAGACTATAGACTAGACTTATAGACTAGACTATAGACTAGGATATAGGACTAGACTATAGACTAGACTATAGGACTAGGACTATAGCTAGATATATACTAGGACTATAGACTAGAATATAGACTAGACTATTAGACTAGACTATAGACTGACTATAGACTAGACTATAGACTAGACATAGCTAGACTATAGATCTAGACTATAGGACTAGACTTAGACTAGACTATAGACTAGACTATGAACTAGACTATAGGACTAGGAATATAGATAGACTATAGACTAGACTATAGGGACTAGGACTATAGGACTAGACTATAGGACTAGGACTATAGGGACTAGACTATAGACTAGACTATAGACTAGACTATAGACTAGCCTATAGACTAGACTATAGACTAGATATAGATAGCCTATAGGACTAGACTATAGACTGGGACTGCTAGATTAGCCTATAGATAGGACTATAGACTAGACTGTATACTAGACTATAGAGAGGCAGAAGACTATACTATAGAGTATAGACTCGACTATAGGCACTACTAAAATCCTTTTAGAGTTCAGATTTTAGATGGGAATCGAACTCGCACACCCTAACTTATAGATCATAATTTCTTGAAAAGTCCCTCAAAATATTTGAACCGTTGTTAAGGCTTTGACCATCATCCGTCGCAGAAATCTCAACAAATAAATATTTACAAAACAAATGATAATAAACTTACCACAATTAGGTTTTCCTCGAGTACGTGTATTGGCGAATTCAACGCCATGTTTATCGACACACCAGCAGACACCGACCGAATTATGACACTGTGTGGGCTTATAGAAACCTTGTACATCGCAATCGGGTGCATAAGCTCCTGTTAGCGTTCGTTCATAATTTAGTTAAAATTACAAATACCAAAAACAAATAGATAAACAAAAATATAAATTTGTTAAAAAATTGTTCTTCTACAATTATCTATTGCAGTTATAGTTGTTGTTGTAGTTAAGTGGGTTTATTATGTGTATATTTTTTAAATATTTATTAATTAACAATAATAAATGTATTTTTTTTGAAAATAGAAAGCATAAGCTGACATTAGATAGATTTTTGTAAATTTTAATTTAATTTAGCAAAAATTTATAAATTTTTTTTTTATTTTGTTTAAATAAATATATGTATGAGTATTTTAAATAATTATAATTAAATAAATAAATAATTGAGTTTTAATTTGAAATATTTTAAATATTTTCTCTAAAAGAAAACTAAATTCTAAAATTTAAAGTGTAAAACAAAAGGTGTGTGTGTGTGTGTTTTTGGCAAAAATATTAATTTCAGGGAAAAGAGTGTTTTTATAAAAATTGTGTAAGTATGTGTTCTACTAAAAAATAAGAAAGAAAAAGCTTTAAATTCTACAAATTTTAAGAAAACTTGCTATTTTTGGCAACAATTTTAAGAATTTGTGAGTGTGTGTATGACAGAGTGTTTTGACTAAGAAAAACCTTAAATTAACAAACTTTAAACTTCAAGATATTTTCTTATCCCACCCAGCAAACAATATATTTTGATTCGTTAAATATCCAACATTTTCTTTGAAGTAATTCGAATCAGAAATAATAATTAAAAATTTAACAATTATTGTTGAATATAATTTTTTAACAAATGGTTGTTGAATAAAATGTATTTTTGTTGTTTTTTTGCTTATGTTTGCTGGGTTTTGAATAAAATTTTTTATTGCATACGAATATGCCAAACAAACTGCAACTGGCAAATATTTTTAGCATTCTTTTTTATTAACTTTAAAGTTTATTTAATGTTAAAGTTCTAATGAAATATATATTTTGCATTATTTTGTTATGCTTTTCTTCTAAATAAAACTTTTTTTAATGTTTTTGTTGAAATTTAACAAAATGTACTCTTGTTTTTTTGTATTGGAAAACTTCTAAGTTTTTTTTCTTTTTTTCGTTTCTGAGAAATTTGTAAATGCAATCAACTAATTTGAATATATAAATAGTAGACTGACTCAAGGGGTATGTAGAATACAATAGAACAAAGTTTTAAGTCTCAAGTTCAGTTCTGTATAGAGCATATTATAGACTATGTTATAATCTTAACTGCAGTCTAGACAACAGACCAGACTGTAGACAAAGTCTTGAGTACATAAATAGTAAATTATAGATCAGACTATAGACCAGATTAAAAACTACATATTTTAGTCTAGTCCAGACTATAGAGCAAACTTTAGACTATAGTCCAGACTACAGACTATATTCCAGATTATAGACTATAGTCCAGACTATAGAATAAAGTCCAGACTATAGACTACAGTCCAGGCTATAGACTAGTCCAGTCTATAATTTATAGTCAAGACTATAGGTTATAGTCCAAACTATACACTTAGTCCAGACTATTGACTATTGTCCAGACTATAGACTTTAGTGCAGACTATAGTCCAGACTGTAGACTATAGTCCAGACTTTAGGCTATAGTCCAGACTATAGACTATAGTCCAGACTATAGGTTATATTCCAGACTATACACAATATTCCAGACTATAGGCTATCATCCAAACTATAGGCTATATTCCAGACTATACTAAAAGTTCCCCATATCGATCTTGTCACTCGATCAATAGCCCAGACTATGGACTGCAGTCCAGACTAGTTAGTCAGTTAGTTAGTTAGTAGTTAGTTAGTTAGTTAGTTAGTTAGTTAGTAGTTAGTAGTTAGTAGTTAGTTAGTTAGTTAGTTAGTTAGTTAGTTAGTTAGTAGTAGTTAGTTAGTTAGTTAGTTAGTTAGTTAGTTAGTTAGTTAGTTAGTTAGTTAGTTAGTTAGTTAGTTAGTTAGTTAGTTAGTTAGTTAGTTAGTTAGTTAGTTAGTTAGTAGTTAGTTAGTTAGTTAGTTAGTTAGTTAGTTAGTTAGTTAGTTAGTTAGTTAGTAGTTAGTTAGTAGTTAGTTAGTTAGTTAGTTAGTTAGTTAGTTAGTTAGTTAGTTAGTTAGTTAGTAGTTAGTTAGTTAGTTAGTTAGTTAGGTTAGTTAGTTAGTTAGTTAGTTAGTTAGTTAGTTAGTTAGTTAGTTAGTTAGTTAGTTAGTTAGTTAGTTAGTTAGTTAGTAGTAAGTTAGTTAGTTAGTTAGTTAGTAGTTAGTTAGTTAGTTAGTTAGTTAGTAGTTAGTTAGTTAGTTAGTTAGTTAGTTTAGTTAGTTAGTTAGTTAGTAACTAAGTTAGTTAGTTAGTTAGTAGTTAGTTAGTTAGTTAGTTAGTTAGTTAGTTAGTTAGTTAGTTAGTTAGTAGTTAGTTAGTTAGTTAGTTAGTTAGTTAGTTAGTAGTTAGTTAGTTAGTTAGTTAGTTAGTTAGTTAGTTAGTTAGTTAGTTAGTTAGTTAGTTAGTTAGTTAGTTAGTTAGTTAGTTAGTTAGTTAGTTAGTTAGTTAGTTAGTTAGTTAGTTAGTTAGTTAGTTAGTTAGTTAGTTAGTTAGTTTAGTAGTTAGTTAGTTAGTTAGTTAGTTAGTTAGTTAGTTAGTTAGTTAGTTAGTTAGTTAGTTAGTTAGTTAGTTAGTTAGTTAGTTAGTTAGTTAGTTAGTTAGTTAGTTAGTAGTTAGTTAGTTAGTTAGTTAGTTAGTTAGTTAGTTAGTTAGTTAGTTAGTAGTTAGTAGTTAGTAGTTAGTTAGTTAGTTAGTTAGTTAGTTAGTTAGTAGTTAGTTAGTTAGTTAGTTAGTAGTTAGTTAGTTAGTTAGTTAGTTAGTAGTTAGTTAGTTAGTTAGTTAGTTAGTAGTTAGTTAGTTAGTTAGTTAGTTAGTAGTTAGTTAGTTAGTTAGTAGTTAGTTAGTTAGTTAGTTAGTTAGTTAGTTAGTTAGTTAGTTAGTTAGTTAGTTAGTTAGTTAGTTAGTTAGTTAGTTAGTTAGTTAGTTAGTTAGTTAGTTAGTTAGTTAGTTAGTTAGTTAGTTAGTTAGTTAGTTAGTTAGTTAGTTAGTTAGTTAGTTAGTTAGTTAGTTAGTTAGTTAGTTAGTTAGTTAGTTAGTTAGTTAGTTAGTTAGTTAGTTAGTAGTTAGTTAGTTAGTTAGTTAGTTAGTTAGTTAGTTAGTTAGTTAGTTAGTTAGTTAGTTAGTTAGTTAGTAGTTAGTTAGTTAGTTAGTTAGTTAGTTAGTTAGTTAGTTAGTTAGTTAGTTAGTTAGTTAGTTAGTTAGTTAGTTAGTTAGTTAGTTAGTTAGTTAGTTAGTTAGTTAGTTAGTTAGTAGTTAGTTAGTTAGTTAGTTAGTTAGTTAGTTAGTTAGTTAGTTAGTTAGTTAGTTAGTTAGTTAGTTAGTTAGTTAGTTAGTTAGTTAGTTAGTTAGTTAGTTAGTTAGTTAGTTAGTTAGTTAGTTAGTTAGTTAGTTAGTTAGTTAGTTAGTTAGTTAGTTAGTTAGTAGTTAGTTAGTTAGTTAGTTAGTTAGTTAGTTAGTTAGTTAGTTAGTTAGTTAGTTAGTTAGTTAGTTAGTTAGTTAGTTAGTTAGTTAGTTAGTTAGTTAGTTAGTTAGTTAGTTAGTTAGTTAGTTAGTTAGTTAGTTAGTTAGTTAGTTAGTTAGTTAGTTAGTTAGTTAGTTAGTTAGTTAGTTAGTTAGTTAGTTAGTTAGTTAGTTAGTTAGTTAGTTAGTTCTTTGTAGAGTACCTGTCTAATGGAACGCTTTTATTTTTCCCTTATACTTCCCAGTTGTAGGTTGAGTAAGTTTAACTTTAATCCTTCAAAGAAAACTGCAACACCAGTAGATGTTCAGTTCTACTTCGAAATCAATTACTATTTTCTACTAGAATGTTATCAGTATTGTGTAAAAATTGTTGTTACTGATGGTAACATTAAGAAATTTAAAGCGAAATTCAACAGTCAAACAGATTCTCTAGGAATTCCAGTGCTAAACTTAAAAGTTTTTCAAACTTCATTCTAAAATCTTTTCCACAACTACTACCTTGTTAATACTATATACATTTTTACTACTAAACTTTTTACTCCATCTATTTTGCACTAAAATATCTCGTTAAATTTCCTAAATTATTTCCAACTAAATATTTTAAAGAAATAAGTTAGAATAAAGATATATTTAATTAAAAACAAAAAGAAAGCAATGCTAAAGCTAACTGAATAAAATGGAGAAAAAAATTTAAATCTTACAAATCACAAATTAAGTTAAAGCTTTAATTTCAATATTTAGCAAATTGTTATGGTAGAAAAAATAAATTATATTTAAATATGATTTAAAGTAAACGATATATTTTTAAGAAAATATCGTAGAACTAGGCAATAGATTTTTTGTTTATTTTTAAAAATGAAATTGACCAGTTTCCTAAAAAGCATTTTTTAAAAGTGTAATTCTTGCTTTTTCAGTTTTTTTCTATATTCTCGAGGAGGGGAAAAAGTATGTAACGAAATCAAAAACAACAAAAAGAGTATCTCTGTAGTGAAAAAATAACACAATTTGTATGATAAATTAAAATGTCCACCTGTACCTATCTCACCTGCAAAATCGCCAGCAATTCTTCGTCTTACAGCGGCACAGGGACGATCTGTTTTCTCAAAACAACGACACCATTCTCGGGTATTTATTGAATTATCCTGATCCAAATCGCAGGTATCAATGAAGGGTTTAATGCAACGTTCATTCTGATCATGTTCTAAATCGTACATTTCCTGCAGCGACAAGAAACCATCATTGTTTAAATCCAAATGGCCAAACATCCATTTGGCTTCGGCCTTACAGGCGGGTGGGAAGTGGGCCTTTGATTTTTGACTATGCTGACGACGTTTCTTACTATCAGCCATAATGACAGAGAACCAATCCAGGAGACGATTACCGATGGCGGTCAATTGTTGGGGTTTACATTCGGGCGATTTTGAAGGGTAACCTAGTGGTTGGTTTGTAGAGTTTGTGTTAGGGAAATGTTTGTTAGTAGAGAAAGTTATTTATTCTTATTTGAATTATATATAATTCTTTGATAATCCTAATTTAGAATCTTGTTGACTTTTTAAAACTTACCATTATTGATGTTGTTGTTCTTTAGATATTTCTGTGGTTTCTCAATGACTTCATTGTAGCCGCGGATTTTGTGTTTATCTTCCTGGTATTGTTGATTGTCCTATTTAGAAAATTAGAAAGAAATTTGAAAAACGTGTAAAGTATTAAAATATACAACGATTTCTTTATTGATCCTGAACGGGATATATCGATAAATCTAGAGCCTTGTATATCTTTGATTAAAACTGACAAATTAACTTCCATTTCCTTTTATATCTACAATTGTAATGGTTTCTTTTAAATTAATTGAATAAATTTAAATTTTCAATTTGTATTAGGTACTGAAATACCTATTTAATCTTGTCGAATATTTTCAACTACGTAATTGTGCTTTTTCTCTTACTTTAACCAGAAAATCATTTAAATATGTTCTCTCTACTCTAACCCAAAAATAAAAAAAAAAATATTTCGATTTAATCGTCTGCAATTCAAACATACTATTCTTATTGTATCTTTTATTCAATACTCAATTTTCATTTTGTTTTTTTTTATTTTTTCTTTTTAATATTTAATCTTGATATTTTCAAGTTTTATACACAAAACGCCCATTAGTTACATTATTTACAAGACAATAAGCAACAACTAAAATTATATATAACCATGTAGATATATAAAATAAATAAATAAGTAAATACATAGGATGTAGCTGTAAGCTAACAATGCCAAAATGTTGTGAATGTTTAATACAGTGAAGGGTAAAAGTTTTCGAACAAATAACAATGCGAACTAGTTTTTAAGAAGAAATGTATTGCATTTTAAAATTGGAAAAAGTTGTTCGCTGATTTTTTTGTTCGTATGAAGAAATACCTAGACGTATGAGTGTTATTTATATCTCACGATAATTAAATAATGCTCATACGTCTAGGTGGTACCTTTTTTTTAGAAAAATCTTATATTTTTGATAAATTTATTTTCTTTAGAAAATTTTAAATTTTTCTAGATAAATTTCGATAAATTTTCTCTTGATAAATTTTCTTTTAATAGGAAAATTTTCGATAGATTTTCTGTTTTTAGAAAATATTCGATAGAAATATAGAATTTAGAAAAATATGTATACATTGTTTGTTTATAGAAAATTTTTGTTTAATTTACCTTTTAAACATAATTTTCGATAAATTTTTCTTTTATAGATAATTTTGGATATGGCTTCCTTTATAAAGAAATTTTCGATACAATTTCTTTTTCTTTAGAAAATGTTTCATAATTTTCTTTTTTCTATGGAGAATTTGCGATAAATTTTCTTTATTTAGAGAAAATTTTTGAAAGGGGTTTTTTTCATAGAAAATTTTCTTCTTTTAAAGAAAATTTTCGATAAATCTTTTACTTTTAAAGAAAATTTTCGATAAATTTTCTTCTTACCGAAAATGTTTAATCAATTTTCTTCTTTTATAGAAAATGTTTGATTAATTCTCTCCTTTTATAGAAAATTTTCTATAAATTTTCTACTTTTAAAGAAAATTTTCCATAAATTTTCTTCTTTTACAGAAAATGTTTAATTCCTTTATAGAAAATGTTCGAATAATTCTCTCCTTTTATAGAAAAAAAATCTTCTACTTTTAAGAAAATTTTCGATAAATTTTCTTCTTACCGAAAATGTTTAATCAATTTTCTTCTTTTATAGAAAATGTTTGATTAATTCTCTCCTTTTATAGAAAATTTTCGATAAATTTTCTACTTTTAAAGAAAGTTTTCGATAAATTTTCTTCTTTTACAGAAAACGTTTAATTCCTTTATAGAAAATGTTCGAATAATTCTCTCCTTTTATAGAAAATTTTCGATAAATGTTCGTTTACAGAAAATGTTAGATAATTTTTCTTCTTTTACTGAACATTTTTAATATATTTTCTACTTTTATAAAAAGTTTTCGAAAAATTTTTTTCTTTTATAGAAAATTATCGATAAATTATCTACATTTAAAGAAAATTTCGATAAATTTTCTACTTTTGAAGAAAATTTTCAATAAATTTTCTTCTTTTATACAAAATTTTCTATAAATTTTCTTCTTTTATAGAACATTTTCGATAAATTTTCTACTTTTAAAGAAAATTTTCGATACATTTTTAACTTTTAAAGAAAATTTTCGATAATTCTTCTAAAAATTTTCTTCTTTATAGAAAATTTTCTATTCATTTTCTTTTTTTATAGAAAATTTTCGATAAATGTTCTTTTATAGAAAATGTTCGATAATTTTTCTTCTTTTACTGAACATTTTCAATAAATTTTCTACTTTTATAAAAAATTTTCGATAAATTTTTTCTGTTTTAGAAAATTATCTACTTTTAAAGAAAATTTCGATAAATTTATTGAAAATTTTCTTCATTTATAGAAAATTTTCGCTAAATTTTCTTCTTTCCTAAAAAATTTTCGCTAAATTCTTAACTTTTAAAGAAAATTTTATACGTTTAAAGAAAATTTTCGATAAATTTTCTTCTTTTATAGAAAATGTTCGATTAATTCTCTTCTTTTATAGAAAATTTTCGCAAATTTTCTTCTCTTGTAAAAAATTTTCTATAAATCTACTTTTAAAGAAAAATTTCGATAAATTTTGTTCTTTTATAGAAAATTTTCGATAAATTTTCTCCCTTATATAGAAAATTTTCGATAAATTTTTGTCTTTCAAAGAAAATTATCGATAAATAGTCTACTTTTGAAGAAAATATTCGATACATTTTTTTCTTTTTTAGAAAATTTTCAATAAATTTTCTTCTTTTATAGAAAATTTTCGATAAATTTTCTTCTTTTATAGAAAATTTTCGATAAATTTTCTTCTTTTATAGAAAATTTTCGATAAATTTTCTTCTTTTATAGAAAATTTTCGATTAAATTCCTTCTTTTATAGAAAATTTTCGATTAATTTTTTTCTTTTAAAGAAAATTTTGTACTTTTAAAGAAAATTTGCGCTAAATTTTCTTCTTTTATAGAAAATGTTCGATTAATTCTCTCCTTTTATAGAAAATTTTCGCGAAATTTTCTTCTTTTGTAAAAAATTTTCTATAAATCTACTTTTAAAGAAAAATTTCGATAAATTTTGTTCTTTTATAGAAAATTTTCGATAAATTTTCGTCTTTATATAGAAAATTTTCGATAAATTTTCGTCTCTATAGAAAATTTTCGATAAATGTTCTTTTATTGAAAATGTTCGATAATTTTTCTTCTTTTATAAAAAAATGTTCGATAAATTTTCTTCTTTTATAGAAAATTATCGATAAATAGTCTACTTTTGAAGAAAATTTTCGATAAATTTTCGTCTTTATATAGAAAATTTTCGATAAATGTTCTTTTATTGAAAATGTTCGATAATTTTTCTTCTTTTATAAAAAAATGTTCGATAAATTTTCTTCTTTTATAGAAAATTATCGATAAATAGTCTACTTTTGAAGAAAATTTTCGATAAATTTTCTTCTTTTATAGAAAATTTTCGATAAATTTACTTTTTTTTCCTTTTCTTTAATTTTCTTTTCTTTTAATTTTCGATAATTTTCTTTTTCTTTATAACATTTTCGATAATTTTTTTTCCATAATTTATTCTTTAGAACATTTTCGATAAATAATCTTTCTCGTCAGAAAATTTTCGATAACATTTTTTTTTATAGAAAATATTCGTTAAATTTTTTTTTCATAGAAAATGTTCGATAAACTTTCTTTTTAATATAAAGATTTCTTTCTTTTTAAATTTTGAATAAATTTTCTTTTTTATTGAAAATTTTTTATTAATAATAATTGACGTATGAGTATTATGAAGACGTATGAGTATTATGAATTTGTTTATTATAAGAAATAAAAACACTCATACGTCTAGGTATTCTTTCATATAAAATTAAAAACAATATCGATAAATTTTTACTTTAAATACAAAAAATTCTTGTTTCTAAGTATTATTATTCATTATAAAAATGCCACCCTAATACACATGTCTTATTCATGTCATGTCATGCTATAGTTGAAAGAGTTTAAGATTGAAAGAAAAATAATATGTGTGTATGTATTAGTAAATACATAATAGTAAACGAAACGACACTTACCTTTTTATAAGCTGTATACTTGAGATATTTATAATGTTTGTTGTCATATTTGATCTCTTCTGGCGTGAAAGTGAATTGTGAATTGATGTGATTGTAATGACGATTGTTATCATCCTTATCCTGTAAAGAGACATGAAGGAGACAATGACAACAATAGCAACAACAACAAAAGATATTAGTAAAATCAAACCAAACAACAACCAGCAACAAAATCGAACCATCACAACCATTATAATGTGTATATTTTTGTTTGTAGATAAATGTATAAGCTGCAGGATTCGTGTAAATGTGTACTTGTGTCTGTCTGTCTGCCTGTATTTCAAGTATTTTGGATTAAAGATAAGCACACAAACCAAAAACACATTGACACATGTCGATGTTAATAAACACACAACTCACACCAATAGTCGAGTGTTGTGAAATTGTATCAAGAACGGAAACGGATATACACATGAAACAAAATATACTTGGATCTAGAAATGTTATACACGAGGATGTTAAAATTCTTCTTGTGCTTTTTCTTTTCTTTTATTTCCTTTATTTTGTTGGAGTTTGTTTTTTTTTCTGTATTGTATTGTTTATATCACTTTGAGATTAATAGACATTTTGCCATAAAGACAACAATATGAATAAAATGAAATTTAGATTAAAAGTTGGTTCGTAAATATGTACATATGTATGTATGTATGAATGTATGTATGCATGTATGTGGGAGTATGTGTTCGAAATGGGATTAGTTTGTGGTAAAATTTTTCTCTTTTTGTAGAAAATTTTCTAAATTTTACAAAAAATTTTCGATAAAATTTCTTTTTTAGAAAATCTTCGATACAATACTTTTATAGGAAATTGTTGATATTTTTTTTTCTTTTTTCATAGACAACTTTCGATAACTTTTCTTTTTTGATAGATAATTTTTGATAAATTTTCTTTTTATGGAAAATTTTCGATAAATATTCTTTTTATAGAAAATTTTCGATAAATTTTCTTTTTATAGGAGATTTTCGATAAATTTTCTATTTATAGAAGCTTTTCGATAAATTTTCTTTTCATAGAAGATTTTCGATAAATTTTCTATTTATAGAAGATTTTCGATAAATTTTCTTTTCATAGAAGATTTTCGATAAATTTTCTTTTCATAGAATATTTTCGATAAATTTTCTTTTCATAGAATATTTTCGATAAATTTTCTTTTCGTGGAAAATTTTCGATAAATTTTCTTTTCATAGAAATTGTTCGAGAAATTCTCTTTTCATAGAAAATTTTCAATAAATTTTCTTTTCATAGAAAATTTTCGATAAATTTTCTTTTTATAGAAAATTTTCGATAAATTTTCTTTTCATAGAAAATTTTCGATAAATTTTCTTTTCATAGAAAATTTTCGATAAATTTTCTTTTCATAGAAAATTTTCGATAAATTTTCTTTTCATAGAATATTTTCGATAAATTTTCTTTTCATAGAGTATTTTCGATAAATTTTCTTTTCATAGAAGATTTTCGATAAATTTTCTTTTCATAGAATATTTTCGATAAATTTTCTTTTCGTGGAAAATTTTCGATAAATTTTCTTTTCATAGAAAATTTTAGATAAATTTTCTTTTTATAGAAAATTTTCGATAAATTTTCTTTTCATAGAAAATTTTCGATAAATTTTCTTTTCATAGAAAATTTTCGATAAATTTTCTTTTCATAGAAAATTTTCGATAAATTTTCTTTTCATAGAAAATTTTCGATAAATTTTCTTTTCATAGAAAATTTTCGATAAATTTTCTTTTCATAGAAAATTTTCGATAAATTTTCTTTTCATAGAAAATTTTCGATAAATTTTCTTTTCATAGAAAATTTTCGATAAATTTTCTTTTCATAGAAAATTTTCGATAAATTTTCTTTTCATAGAAAATTTTCGATAAATTTTCTTTTCATAGAATATTTTCGATAATTTTTTTTTCATAGAATATTTTCGATAAATTTTCTTTTCATAGAATATTTTCGATAAATTTTCTTTTCATAGAGTATTTTCGATAAATTTTCTTTTCATAGAAGATTTTCGATAAATTTTCTTTTCATAGAAGATTTTCGATAAATTTTCTTTTCATAGAAGATTTTCGATAAATTTTCTTTTCATAGAAGATTTTCGATAAATTTTCTTTTCATAGAAGATTCTTTTTATAAGAAAATTTTCGATAAATTCTCTTTTTATAGAAAATTTTCGATAAATTTTCTTTTTATAGAAATTTTTCGATAAATTTTCCTTTAATAGAAAATTTTCGATAAATTTTCTTTATATAGAAATTTTTCGATAAATTTTGTTTATATAGAAAATTTTTCGATAAATTTTATATTAAACGAAAATTTATCGAAAAATTTCTATAAAAACATTCTTTATCTTCGATAAATGTTCTCTTTTATAGAATTTATAGAAATTTTCGATAAATTTATTTTCATCACCACCCTAATGTTTACCTATTATTTTCATTTAGCATGAAAGCCTTTATATATGTATTTGTACAATTGCGTTCGTTTATCTGTTACTAAGTGCACATTAAAGTGTTTGTTTATTGTCATTCTTTATCAACACTACATTTACATGTGTTTCTTACTGTAGACGACATGGCGACGACCATCTCATATTGTGCATCTTACACACTTACAAACACATGCTAAAATAATATTTGTGAGACATTGTGTGTGACCGGAAACAAAAAGAGTGACAAGGGCTACTGTTTCTTGTTAAATTTAGTGTAAATTTTCTAAATGTCACACACACTCTTTTAGAAATAAAATCAAACATTAATTTTACCTTAACAATGGAAACAATTGAAAATTGGTCAGTCAGGATTAAAGATTGTTTATATAACATTAACGTTAAACATTAACATTAAAGTTTTCCACCTACTGTTTTAAAATTATTTGCAGGGCAAAGGAATTAATTTTAAATTTATTTATTTCTTATAATTTGCATGAATTGCCTGCAGTGAAATATGTTAATTATTTTCTTGTTAATTGAATATATTCCAGGAAACAGCAAAACAATAAGAAGTTTAAAATTCTGCTTAAGAATTATATTAAACGCAAAGTTAAATTTAAACATTTTTAAATGAGAAAACCCTATAGTTTTAAGTCTTATGTTTAAAATGTTTTTAATCTTTAAACATTTTTATGTCTTTTTTTAATTTCACAAGAACCCAACATTTTATTGGTTTTTTGTCTTTCGAACATAAAGTTAAGTGACGGTGTCATGTATTGTTTGGTGTTATTATTATTGTCGTTGTTAATGTTGTAGTCAGTTGCTGCTTGTTGTTTGGTTGCTCATGCTGGTGTCATTTTATGTACAATACAATAAACATACAGACGCATAAATGCGTTCATATTTATGTTTGTATAAGTGTTAAAAAACATGTCTTTTACATGTAGTAATTGTTGTTTGTCAGTCTTGATCTATTTAAGCAGAGAATTAAACAAACAACCAAAACACTTACTTATTTATACATTCATTTGTTCATCCGTTCATTTATCATTTAATTCATATAAATATTCAGACATGTTTGTTTGAGGTTGTGTGAGAGTTTGTAATTTTTAATGTATTTTTGGTTCATTTTGTTTTTAATTTCTTTTTTGGATTTTTTTATATGTTTTTTTTTTCTGACATGTAATATATTATTAAATATTTTACTTACATCCATTATTGTATTAAATTCATTATTATTACTGCTGCTAATGATGTTGTTGTTGCTGTTCTCTTTGTATTGTTGCTGTTGTTTCTCTTGCTGTTGTTCCATGGTTTTCTTGTATTTAGCATTGAATGCATTTTGTCGCTCATTAATGCGTTGCAAACGTTTCTCATTGATATTATCTGGAATAATTGCGATAAAGAATTGAATAAATTCAATTAATTAATTAAATAAATATTATAAAATATATCAAACAAAACAACATGCCACAAAAAAATAATAATAATAAATAACAAGATAATTAATTAAATCAATAATGACAAAGAAATAAAGTTTTTGATGGCGAACTGAATTAAAATTGGAACTCAATTGCAATTGAAGTAAACATGACCTAGAACTGAACTAGAACTGAACTAGAACTGAACTAGAACTGAACTAGAACTGAACTAGAACTGAACTAGAACTGAACTAGAACTGAACTAGAACTGAACTAGAACTGAACTAGAACTGAACTAGAACTGAACTAGAACTGAACTAGAACTGAACTAGAACTGAACTAGAACTGAACTAGAACTGAACTAGAACTGAACTAGAACTGAACTAGAACTGAACTAGAACTGAACTAGAACTGAACTAGAACTGAACTAGAACTGAACTAGAACTGAACTAGAACTGAACTAGAACTGAACTAGAACTGAACTAAGAACTGAACTAGAACTGAACTAGAACTGAACTAGAACTGAACTAGAACTGAACTAGAACTGAACTAGAACTGAACTAGAACTGAACTAGAACTGAACTAGAACTGAACTAGAACTGAACTAGAACTGAACTAGAACTGAACTAGAACTGAACTAGAACTGAACTAGAACTGAACTAGAACTGAACTAGAACTGAACTAGAACTGAACTAGAACTGAACCAGAACTGAACTAGAACTGAACTAGAACTGAACTAGAACTGAACTAGAACTGAACTAGAACTGAACTAGAACTGAACTAGAACTGAACTAGAACTGAACTAGAACTGAACTAGAACTGAACTAGAACTGAACTAGAACTGAACTAGAACTGAACTAGAACTGAACTAGAACTGAACTAGAACTGAACTAGAACTGAACTAGAACTGAACTAGAACTGAACTAGAACTGAACTAGAACTGAACTAGAACTGAACTAGAACTGAACTAGAACTGAACTAGAACTGAACTAGAACTGAACTAGAACTGAACTAGAACTGAACTAGAACTGAACTAGAACTGAACTAGAATTGAACTAGAACTGAACTAGAACTGAACTAGAACTGAACTAGAACTGAACTAGAACTGAACTAGAACTGAACTAGAACTGAACTAGAACTGAACTAGAACTGAACTAGAACTGAACTAGAACTGAACTAGAACTGAACTAGAACTGAACTAGAACTGAACTAGAACTGAACTAGAAACTGAACTAGAACTGAACTAGAACTGAACTAGAACTGAACTAGAACTGAACTAGAACTGAACTAGAACTGAACTAGAACTGAACTAGAACTGAACTAGAACTGAACTAGAACTGAACTAGAACTGAACTAGAACTGAACTAGAACTGAACTAGAACTGAACTAGAACTGAACTAGAACTGAACTAGAACTGAACTAGAACTGAACTAGAACTGAACTAGAACTGAACTAGAACTGAACTAGAACTGAACTAGAACTGAACTAGAACTGAACTAGAACTGAACTAGAACTGAACTAGAACTGAACTAGAACTGAACTAGAACTGAACTAGAACTGAACTAGAACTGAACTAGAACTGAACTAGAACTGAAACTAGAAACTGAACTAGAACTGAACTAGAACTGAACTAGAACTGAACTAGAACTGAACTAGAACTGAACTAGAACTGAACTAGAACTGAACTAGAACTGAACTAGAACTGAACTAGAACTGAACTAGAACTGAACTAGAACTGAACTAGAACTGAACTAGAACTGAACTAGAACTGAACTAGAACTGAACTAGAACTGAACTAGAACTGAACTAGAACTGAACTAGAACTGAACTAGAACTGAACTAGAACTGAACTAGAACTGAACTAGAACTGAACTAGAACTGAACTAGAACTGAACTAGAATGAACTAGAACTGAATTAGAACTGAACTAAAACTGACCTAGAACTGAACTAGAATTAACAGTATTTATTTGATAAATTTTTTCTGTCTACGTTTCTGCCAGTAAAAATTAGATCAAAAGTAATATATTAACCCAAAGGTCCCTATAGACCCAAATGAAGTTTCAAATTTGTGGTATGCCTCTAACAAGTATCTGCTATTGCTTTTTCAAACCAACAAGTGTAGATTATGGATATAACTAATTTGGCGAAATTTTTGGCATACCACCACGAGATGGCCAATGTTGTATAATTACTGAAAATAATTTTTTATGTCATTAGAAATCAAACCCAATTTCTAATTTAAACCAAATTTTTTAAAATTTTTATTTGTTTTAATTTTAAGATTAAAATATTTATATATGGGCATTTCTACCTAGAAGTATATTTTTGTCACATCGCGACTCATCATTGCCTATATCTCCGAACTTTTTGATTTTTCGCAAATATACTATTTTACATCCCTAAATCAAAAAGTCCATAAAAAGTTATTTGTTGATAATATTTGTTTTGACCATATCTCCAATTCTTATGCACCGATTTTACTGGTTTTAAACAACTAAATACTTAAAAGCATATTTAAATTAATTATCTTAGATTTGGATTCCGAAGACATATAGAGCCTTCAAAAAACTGATAAAAAAACGTTGGACAGACATTAGTAGTTTCTCATAGTTTTTAATACTCTGTTCGACTATGATATGCTAACATGCATATTTGTAAAGAATGTCAATAGTTATATCCCTAGTGTACATGTACGCTAATACTTTTGAACTAATAACAAGACATTGGTCGAGAGCCGAATTGTTTTCTAAAGTGTAGGTATTTTGTTGCTATCGCTTCAGTTACTGTTGCTACTGGTGTTTTTGTTATTGTTAATACACAATTGTGGCAGTCGTATCAATTGTTTTCATGCAAATAATGTTTTCATTAGAAAAACTATTCAACCAAAAACAACATTTTGTGATTTTTTCCTCCTGAGTAGATGTAGAGATTTATCCATTATTTTGATCATCGCATAAAAGCAAGTAATAAAAGTGGATACAGGGGTGGGAGAAAGTAATTGTTGTTTGGGTTATTTTTAAGAATTTTGATTTTCCTTGGTTTTGATATTAAAGCTTAGCAATTTTTTATGCTATAAATTTAATATTAAGTGTATATATGAATGTATATATATATTTGAATTTGTTGAATATTTGAATTTTTACCAAAATGTTAAACTCTATTATTGGACAACAAATGTGGCATTAATTTTGAGCAAAAGCACAAACAAACTTCAATTATTCCTTACTCAAAATAAATATTATCTGCTTCTCTCTTCTTCCATTAAATATTTATTTTTCATATTATAACATTCATATTTTACAATACATATTTATGTATGTTGTCCACTTTACTAGACTTCTTGCTTTTTCTCATTTTCTTTTTTAACTTTACAACAAATTTCCATTATAAATTTCTTGTGTCTTCGTGTCGGTGTATTGCTTTAACCTGTAAAACTTGTTAAATAATGAAAAGTAAAATATGCAAAAGTTTTTCTTTTTATCTTATTTATTCTTTTGAGGAAATTTATTCAGATATTTTTATCAGTTGTGCACGGTACAAATGTAGGTTTCCGATTAATAATTTATTAATGAGTTCAAAGAACTTCTCTCATGTTTCTAGCCTTCACCAACAAGTGTAGTGATATTTCTACATTGTTCAGTAGTCATCCTTTAAGGTTTAAAGAACTAAAATCTTATACAGAACTAGAACTGAAATGAACTATGTAGAACTGAACTAAGACTGAATCAGAACTGAACTAGAACTGAACTAGAACTGAACTAGAACTGAACTAGAACTGAACTAGAACTGAACTAGAACTGAACTAGAACTGAACTAGAACTGAACTAGAACTGAACTAGAACTGAACTAGAACTGAACTAGAACTGAACTAGAACTGAACTAGAACTGAACTAGAACTGAACTAGAACTGAACTAGAACTGAACTAGAACTGAACTAGAACTGAACTAGAACTGAACTAGAACTGAACTAGAACTGAACTAGAACTGAACTAGAACTGAACTAGAACTGAACTAGAACTGAACTAGAACTGAACTAGAACTGAACTAGAACTGAACTAGAACTGAACTAGAACTGAACTAGAACTGAACTAGAACTGAACTAGAACTGAACTAGAACTGAACTAAACTGAACTAGAACTGAACTAGAACTGAACTAGAACTGAACTAGAACTAGAACTGAACTAGAACTGAACTAGAACTGAACTAGAACTGAACTAGAACTGAACTAGAACTGAACTAGAACTGAACTAGAACTGAACTAGAACTGAACTAGAACTGAACTAGAACTGAACTAGAACTGAACTAGAACTGAACTAGAACTGAACTAGAACTGAACTAGAACTGAACTAGAACTGAACTAGAACTGAACTAGAACTGAACTAGAACTGAACTAGAACTGAACTAGAACTGAACTAGAACTGAACTAGAACTGAACTAGACTGAACTAGAACTGAACTAGAACTGAACTAGAACTGAACTAGAACTGAACTAGAACTGAACTAGAACTGAACTAGAACTGTACTAGAACTGAACTAGAACTGAACTAGAACTGAACTAGAACTGAACTAGAACTGAACTAGAACTGAACTAGAACTGAACTAGAACTGAACTAGAACTGAACTAGAACTGAACTAGAACTGAACTAGAACTGAACTAGAACTGAACTAGAACTGAACTAGAACTGAACTAGAACTGAACTAGAACTGAACTAGAACTGAACTAGAACTGAACTAGAACTGAACTAGAACTGAACTAGAACTGAACTAGAACTAGAATGACTAGAACTGAACTAGAACTGAACTAGAACTGAACTAGAACTGAACTAGAACTGAACTAGAACTGAACTAGAACTGAACTAGAACTGAACTAGAACTGAACTAGAACTGAACTAGAACTGAACTAGAACTGAACTAGAACTGAACTAGAACTGAACTAGAACTGAACTAGAACTGGAACTAGAACTGAACTAACTAAGCAACGAACTAGAACTAACTGAATGAAACTAGAACTGAACTAGAACTGAACTCGAATGAACTAGAACTGAACTAGAACGAACTAGAACTGAACTAGAACTGAACTAGAACTGAACTAGAACTGAACTAGAACTGAACTGAACTGAACTAGAACTGAACTAGAACTGAACTAGAACTGAACTGGACTGAACTAGAACTGAACTAGAACCTGAACTAGAACTGAACTAGAACTGAACTAGAACTGAACTAGAACTGAACTAGAACTGAACTAGAACTGAACTAGAACTGAACTAGAACTGAACTAGAATCTAGAACTGAACTAGAACTGAACCAGAACTGAACTAGAAACTGAAACTAGAACTGAACTAGAACTAAACTAGAACTGAACTAAACTAGAACTGAACTAGAACTGAACTAGAACTGAACTAGAACTGAACTAGAACTGAACTAGAACTGAACTAGAACTGAACTAGAACTGAACTAGAACTAAACTAGAACTGAACTAGAACTAAACTAGAACTGAACTAGAACTAAACTAGAACTGAACTAGATCTTAACTACATACGCACATTTTTATGCATTTATAAAAGTAATTTTCAATGTGTGCTTGTTTAGTAACCAAAACTTTCCTTTGTATTTAATGAATAATTTTACAACATCTTATGATGCCTAAAATTCGTTGCGTCTGTTGCATAAAATAATTAATTGTTCTCCTTTTACTCTATTTTTTTTTATTTTTCTCTCCTATTATTTATTGTTAGAGCTTTTAACAAGTTGCTTTTGTGAATGCGGTTCCGTGCGATTTCATTTTAGCGTCTGTTTCAGGTCCTTATTTAATTTTTCTTTTTATTTTGGCTCTTATAACATCATGTTTGCTTTAAATGTTCTGTCTCCCTCCAATACTCACTTTTCTTACACCACTTTTAGCTGCTTTGTTAATTGATTTTTTAATTGAATAGGTTTGCCAGATTTCGTTGTTGTTTTATCTTTAGGTTTGCCCTGTTAACAGCGCCATCTCTTTTAATTGTTAGTATTTTTGTTGTTGTTTTATTATTTAAATTTGTTTTTTACTTTATTGTTAATAAATCTGGCTTTAATTTACGAACTTTTTTATTTTTACTATATTATTTGTATGAGTGTGATAGTAGAGCCAAATATAAAATTGTTAATACTTTTGAAATTTAATTTCCTTGTTGAGCTTAATTGGTTAAAGATGGAAAATGTGAAGCAGAGATGAACTTTTAGTTAATATGAGAGGGGAAGATTAAATTGAATGTACAAGTTTTGTTCTTCAGTTTAAATGGTAATTTTGAAAGGCTATTTGAAAATGTTTATGTTTTACTAGAAAAATAATTTCTTAGTTAAGTTAAATAATATATATGTATATTCTGTAATTTTTTGAAAATTGATATTGATAAAGTATAACTACTGTAAAACTGAAGCACAAGAACCATGTAGAAAAAATCTAGAACAAAACCGGAAAAGAGCTAGAACTAAAAAGTTACATAACTAGAAGATAACTAGAACCGAATTAGAACATAACTAAAACCTAACTAAAACTTGAACTAAACTAGAATAATACTTAACTAGAACCGAAATAGAACAAAACTAAAACTAAGACAGAACTAGAACTCAACTAGAACAGAACTAGAACAGAACTAGAACAGAACTAGAACTGAACTAGAACAGAACTAGAACAGAACTAGAACAGAAGTAGAACAGAACTAGAACAGAACAGAACTAGATAGAACTAGAACAGAACTAGAACAGAACTAGAATAGAACTAGAACAGAACAAGAACAGAACAAGAACAGAACTAGAACAGAACTAGAACAGAACTAGAACAGAACTAGAACAGAACTAGAACAGAACTAGAACAGAACTAGAACAGAACTAGAACAGAACTAGAACAGAACTAGAACTAGAACAGAACTAGAACAGAACTAGAACAGAACTAGAACAGAACTAGAACATGAACTAGAACAGAACTAGAACAGAACTAGAACAGAACTAGAACAGAACTAGAACAGAACTAGAACAGAACTAGAACAGAACTAGAACAGAACTAGAACAGAACTAGAACAGAACTAGAACAGAACTAGAACAGAACTAGAACAGAACTAGAACAGAACTAGAACAGAACTAGAACAGAACTAGAACAGAACTAGAACAGAACTAGAACAGAACTAGAACAGAACTAGAACAGAACTAGAACAGAACTAGAACAGAACTAGAACAGAACTAGAACAGAACTAGAACAGAACTAGAACAGAACTAGAACAGAACTAGAACAGAACTAGAACAGAACTAGAACAGAACTAGAACAGAACTAGAACAGAACTAGAACAGAACTAGAACAGAACTAGAACAGAACTAGAACAGAACTAGAACAGAACTAGAACAGAACTAGAACAGAACTAGAACAGAACTAGAACAGAACTAGAACAGAACTAGAACAGAACTAGAACAGAACTAGAACAGAACTAGAACAGAACTAGAACAGAACTAGAACAGAACTAGAACAGAACTAGAACAGAACTAGAACAGAACTAGAACAGAACTAGAACAGAACTAATACAGAACTAGAACTGAACTAGAAGTAAAAGTAATATAAGTTGTATAATTTTCATTAAAGTACAGTTTTTCTTTTCATTTCAAATGGAAAAGTTTTAATGAATCCAATAAATCATTTGTAGAAATTTTTTTATACACAAATCAATGATTTTAAACCTCAGTATATTTCGCTTTATGTTCACACAAAAATCCATTGCATTCATTATTTCCCATTTCCCATTTTCTTTTTTCATATTTTCCCCAACATCTAATATGTTTTTCACTTTAAGTCACTAATACGAGTACATAAATTCTGCCGATAGATTAACACTGTATTCAAAACCCGGCTCCCTTTGAGGATAGAAAGTACAAATAGGTATGAAGGTTTTTGTGTTTGAATATTTTTTTCACTTTAAAAGGGTTTTTCACTCCACTCTTAAGTTTTCAACACATTCTTATTGTAGTAAATTAAAAGAGTACTATTGAGTCAGTATACTTAAAAATGGCAAATAGAAAAAAAAAAAATAGGAAAAGGAGCTAAAAAAAAATTAAAAACAAAAAATCTTTATGTAGTTTGTAATCATGAACTTACCCTTGCATGGGCAAAATCCTTTGCATGCAATTCTTATGGATGTTGAATGTATGCAATTGTGATAATCCAATCTGCATAACGATGAATACGTTCTATTGTCGTTGCCACAAAGGAATGTTGGTTTTGCTACGGGACATGGCTTGCAATTGCTACAAATATTGTTCAGAGACACAATCAAACACACACGAAAAAGACACGCAAGAGTGATCATTTCAACAGAAAAGGAGTCGGTGAAAAACATGGTTATGGTGGCAGTTGTAGTGGCGATGATGGTATCGCGCGCCAACCACAAGTAACAGCCGTAGCAGTATTAACAGCAAATTGTGTAGAAGTAGCAGCAGTCGTAGTAACATTAGTTGTCATCACCATTGTGTGGTTTAAGAATGGTGAAATTTCAGCAGCGAGAAAAAAATTCACAAAAATAAATCACAATTGAGAAGACAAGGAAAAGAAAAGAAAGAAAAAATATTTATTTAAATTAATATTTTATATAAATTTATTTTCATTAAGTTTTATTTATTTTTTATTATAATTTTTATTTGATGTCTGGTTTTTTATTACAATTATGTATTATTATTTAATTTAAATTGTAATTTTAATTGTGATAAAAATTTATTGTTGTAATTAGAATTAACACTTAAAGAAACTCATTTACGTTATTTAAAAAATAATGTCAAGGGCAGTTTTGTTGTTCTTTTGAAAATATTAAAAATTAATGCTATGAATATTAATATAAAATTTAAAATGTTAGATGTATTTAATTCAGAAACTAGGAAATAGTTCTTTTTTATGAATAAGTAAACTACAAAACTAAGTACTTTTCAATTATAGACTAGTCTACGATTTAGCCTATTGACTAGTCTATGAACTATTTCATAAGTCTATAGAATAGTTTATGAAGTAGTCAAAGTTTAGTCGTGGAACTAGTCTACTGAGTAATGCATGACCAGCTCTATGAACTAGTGTATTGACTAGTATATGAACTTGTCTTTGGACTGGTCTATGGACTAGCCTTTTCTATAGGCTATATGCTATGTAGTAAAACTTAAATGAAATTAGAAAAGTATTTAATGCAACATTAGGGTACAGCGACATTTTTTGATGTCAAATGTTTTGTTTTGTGCCACTTCGAAAAGCCCAAAGAAAAAGAAAAAAAGTTTAAAGAAAATTGCATCTTCATCTACTTCCAAAAAAGGCCGGATGAGTTGTAGTACTCTGCTCTAAAAATTACCAGCCACGAAATTGTGAATGTGCTAAGGATTATTGGTTAGTTATGGATCATTGGATAGTTAAGTATCATTGGATAGTTAAGTATCATTGGATAGTTAAGTATCATTGGATAGTTAAGTATCATTCTTTAGTTATGGATCATTGGTTAGTTTAAGATCATTGGTAAGTTAAGGATCTTTGGTTAGTTAAGCATCATTGGTTAGTTAGTTAGTTTAGTTAGTTTAGTTAGTTAGTTAGTTAGTTAGTTAGTTAGTTAGTTAGTTAGTTAGTTAGTTAGTTAGTTAGTTAGTTAGTTAGTTAGTTAGTTAGTTTTTAGTTAGTTAGTTAGTTAGTTAGTTTTAGTTAGTTCGTTAGTTAGTTTCGTTTTAGTTCGTTCGTTCGTTAGTTCGTTAGTTAGTTAGTTAGTTAGTTAGTTAGTTCGTTCGTTCGTTCGTTCGTTCGTTCGTTTCGTTTCGTTGTAGTTCGTTAGTTCGTTCGTTCGTTCGTTCGTTAGTTCGTTCTTTCGTTCGTTAGTTTTCGTTCGTTTCGTAGTTCGTTAGTTCGTTCGTTCTTAGTTCGTTAGTTCGTTCGTTCGTTCTTTGTTCGTTAGTTCGTTCGTTTCGTTAGTTCGTTCGTTCGTTCGTTCGTTCGTTCGTTCGTTCGTTCGTTCGTTCGTTCGTTCGTTCGTTCGTTCGTTCGTTGTTCGTTCGTTCGTTCTTGTTCGTTTTCGTTCGTTCGTTCGTTCGTTAGTTAGTTCGTTGTTCGTTGTTCGTTCGTTCTTCGTTCGTTCGTTCGTTTTCGTTCGTTTTCGTTTTCGTTCGTTCGTTCGTTCGTTCGTTCGTTCGTTCGTTCGTTCGTTCGTTCGTTCGTTCGTTCGTTCGTTCGTTGTTCGTTCGTTTCGTTCGTTTCGTTCGTTCGTTCGTTCGTTCGTTTCGTTCGTTCGTTCGTTCTTCGTTTTTCGTTCGTTCGTTCGTTCGTTCGTTCGTTTCGTTCGTTCGTTCGTTTCGTTCGTTCGTTCGTTCGTTCGTTCGTTCGTTCGTTCGTGTCGTTCGTTCGTTCGTTCGTTCGTTCGTTCGTTTTCGTTTGTTCGTCTTCGTTCGTTCGTTCGTTCGTTCGTTCGTTCGTTCGTTCGTTCGTTCGTTCGTTCGTTCGTTCGTTCGTTCGTTCGTTCGTTCGTTCGTTCGTTCGTTCGTTCGTTCGTTCGTTCGTTCGTTCGTTCGTTCTGTTCGTTCGTTCGTTCGTTCGTTCGTTCGTTCGTTCGTTCTTCGTTCGTTCGTTCGTTCGTTCGTTTCGTTCGTTTTTTCGTTCGTCGTTCGTTCGTTTCGTTCGTTCGTTCGTTCGTTCGTTCGTTCGTTCGTTCGTTTCGTTGTTCGTTCGTTCGTTCGTTCGTTCGTTCGTTCGTTCTTCGTTTCGTTCGTTCGTTCGTTCGTTCGTTTCGTTCGTTCGTTCTTTCGTTCGTTCTTTCGTTCGTTCGTTGTTCGTTTCGTTCGTTTTCGTTCGTTCGTCGTTCGTTCGTTCGTTCGTTCGTTCGTTTTTCGTTCGTTCGTTCGTTCGTTCGTTCGTTCGTTCGTTCGTTCGTTAGTTAGTTAGTTAGTTAGTTGTTAGTTAGTTAGTTAGTTAGTTAGTTAGTAGTTAGTAGTTAGTTAGTTAGTTAGTAGTTGGTTGGTTGGTTGGTTAGTTAAGGTTTTAATCGGGATTTAAAATCTAAACATCGCCACACAGTTGTGTACTCTTTACGTCACAAAATTTAATATCATTTTTAAGTCAATTTTAATTACATTCCTTCATTCTGAAAGTAATTAAATTGAGTTAATTCTATTGAAATAGAAAGAAATCTGTTGTAAATTCATACATACCTATTGCATTTTAAATTAAAATCTTTACATTCTTAACATATGAAAACCCAATAAACTTTTGTTTCAGCTCTGTATGAACTGGTGATTTAATAATCTATTGATTTTTGTGTGTAAACCCTGCAGTTTGGGGGAGACATTTCTATTTTCATTACTATTAAAAAATGGGCAATTGATCGTTGCTTCCTATTTAAAGTATCTTCACTTTAGATTACTTGGGGTTAATAAAGTGGCTTGTGATTACATTTAAATGACAATTGACTTCCTCTCTGCATTGTAAATAGTTTGAAATATATGTATAAATCTGAGTGAACCAAGTAGTTGTTAGTGACAACTTATTTCTTATAGTTCTGCTTAAAAGTAAGCAGTCAGCAATATACTTATAGAAGTATTAAAGTAAGTATCTATGTAAAGTCGTATGTTGCTGCAGTATTTAAACTCATTCAACCATTAAGATTTTTTTTTAATACAACTACAACATTATTGCTGTTGGTTGTTTGGCAAGTAGTAAGTGCAACAATTGCAAATATTTATGGCATTTTGTTGTAATTTTTTTCTACTTAGATTTTCTACCTTTTTTCCAACTATTTGAGTTGTAACAAAACATTTATTCGTATAAATTTTTAATAGATTATGTTGTTGTGTTTATTTAAAACTTTTGTTTATTTCTACATTTGTACATAGGTATGAAGGTATGTTTGTAAGTATCTATAGAATGTAGTTAAAATATTTTATATGAATGTTGTGATTTAATCATCCATAAAATTTAACAACATTCTCATATTTGCGGAAGTTAAATTGTATTTTATTATTGTGTGTAAAATACACACATACAAACATGTGTTAATGTTCAATAGACAATGAAATGTATAATTTAATTAAAACATGTGTTCAACTCTACTCGTTTCGATTCAATTTAATTTTCATTTCACTTCTTTTATGGTCTGTAAACAAAAAGCAAAGTACAAGAAATAAATCCCATAAAATTTTATTCACATAAAAGTCAATTACACAGTTTATGTATGAAATGGATTTTCTTTTACTTATTTTATTTAAATATTAAAATATTAGGAAGTTGTTAAAAATTGCATAAGACTAACAGTGATTATAAAATAATAGGAATAGAACTGGGAATATGATTACGGCTAGGTATGGGATTAGGACAGTAAATAGAGTGTGACCAACAGTAGGACTAAGAATAGGACAGGAATAGGAATGTGAATAAGACGGGGAATAGGACTAGCAATGGGGCTAGGGATAAGACTAGGAATATGACTAGTAATAATATTATGATTAGGCATGGGATTAGGACTAGAACTGTGAATAGAACACGGACTAGGACTGTGAAATAGGACATGTATCAGCAATAGGATTAGTAATAGGACTAGGAATTCACATGAATACTTTGGGTCTCCAGTGGTTACATACTTTAAAATAATATAACTAAAAATACGATTAGGAATATGACTAGGAATACGACTAGGAATAGGACTAGAAATAGGACTAAGAATAAGATAGGACTAGTAAAGTACTAGGATTAGAACTAAGAATGGAATATGACTGGAGGACTAGAAGTAGGACTAGGCTTAGAATAGGTCATAGAATAGGACAAGATATAGGACTAGGAATAGGTCTTGGAATAGGTCTAAGAATAGGACTACAAATAGAACCATGAATAGGAGTAGTACTGGGAATAGAACTAGCAAAGGGACTAGGATATAGGAATATTACTGAGAATAAGACAAGAAATGGGATTAAAACTACAACTAGTCCTTCCTGATATTCCCCGTCCATACTGTCAAAGGTGAACCTATGTTTACCTCCTTCGTTCAGGTGATGAAACATGTTGATGAAGACTTCACCAGCGAAGTGAAGTCATTTCAGGTTAAGTCCAATGAAAAAATTGTGTATTTCTCTGAGATAGCCCTTCACCAGATTACATAGTCCATCAACGTCTTGACCCGTCGCTGTAATAGTACAGTCGTTCTCATAATATAAAGTTTCCACAATTTGTGGGGGTGTGCGGAGTATAGAGAGGTAGAAGTTAAACAGGATTCAACACCGCCCTGTAGTATTTTCCGTTTAACTTTACGGGTTTTTGAATACTTGTCTCTAAATGCAAAGAACGACTTAAAACCACTCAGAAAACTTTTTCGAAATCCATTTCTTCAATTTGTTC